ACAACGGTCTATGTCCACTGCCCAGCTATCTGTAGCTTCGATAAGTGCTGTGAGCGTGGAATGCAAAGACCGAAAACCAGATTGATGGCACGAGAGAAAGTTGTTTTTAGTTAAATAATGATAAAGCTGATCGTAGATTATCCGTTCAAAGACTTTGGCCTCAACTGGAATTACTGATATTGGTCGATAATTCGTTGGATCGGAGCGCTTCCCGGAATTTTTATACAATGGGGTGACTCTGGCAGATTTCCACTCATCGGGAAAGATGCCAGTCATTAGGGATTGATTAAATATACGAGTAAGAGATTCTGTTAGTACATTAGGACATTCCCTTAGAAGTTTGCAGAAATATTATCCAATCCAGTCGCCTTTGACTTGCAGAGCCTTGATAGTAGTGCAAAAACATGTATTGGTGTTGTTTTTTCAAAAACAAAATTTTTATCAGTTTCAGTAAGGATTTATCAACTTCTGTCACGTCTCTACTAAGGCTTGGTCCAATTTCTGTGAAAAATGAGTTTAGCATTACTGCTATATCTGTTTGGTTTCCAGAATTTACCTCATTAATAACAGTTTTATTGGACTTTCGCGAGGTCAGTTCATTGATTGTTTTCCATGTTTTCCTTTGATCCCCACCACAATTGTTGAAGGCATTTTCATAATAGGCTTTTTTGGCGCTATTAACTTCCCAGTTCACTTGAATTTTAACCATTCGAAATTGGTTCCAAATAAGTGAGTCTTTTGTCTTGATAGCCTTTCTTTTGAGGCGGTCTCTGAAATTCATCCGCTTTTTAAAAATAGTGGTTATCCATGAGAGTTTAGAGTCTCGTGTCCGTTTGGTCTTCATCTCTGCATGCTTTTCACACACATTCAGGAATATTTCTTTCCACTTCTTCCACGTGTCATTAGGATCATACAATTGCCTTATGTCATCCCAAGTTTTGGCTAAGATATCCGCATAAAAATTTGCGCTAGTAAAATGTTTAAACTGTCTATATGTTATCAAGTTAACTCCCTTGGAGAGAGTGGGAATTGAGATTTTTCGATATGCACAAACTAGGCTGTGGTCACTTGGGGCGACATGAGACACCCCCGAACAATACACATTCTCTGGCCGATTTGTAAAAATCAATATATCTTATTAACCAAGCGCAAGGGCCGCACTGGGAGAATATCGGCCCGAGGTCTTGACAGTAGGGACCGAGCGCAGCGAGGTCCGTACAAAAAAGACCGAGGGCCGATATTCTTCCAGTACGGTCCCGAGCAAGCTTGGTTAATAAGAGATTTATTGTACGACTGAAGTTCAAAGGGACACAAGTGCGGTATCATTCGGGACAGTGCCCGGTCCAATACTGAGAGAATATTGACCGGCAATAGAGCATTTTGATTGGTTGATTTTAGTTATTGGCCCTCTGACTGCCCGAGTCGTGTAATAAGATCAATTAATGTACCCGTAGTGGGTGTGATTCGGGTGGGTTCGTTAATTTTTTGATCCAATCCATAAATGTCTGTTATGTTTAGAAGACCTTTCACATTAACATTGTCTTTGGATTGCAAGTCACAATTTAGATCCCCCATAAGAAAATGTTTTACGCTTTCAGCATCTAATTTACCTAATAATGTGTTAACGTGAGCGAAGAGCTCATGAGGTGTTTTTGAAGGTGTGTACCATGAAGTAATAACAAAGGGTTTTGAGTTATGTTTACGAGTTTCAATTGATATTACTTCCAGGAGCTGACTGTCCAAATCTGTGCGGACAAGATAGCTTATGTTTCAACGAATGCCAGTGAGGCCTGTAAAGGTCCCGGATGTGACCGGAGACTCTACGCGACGTAATTAAAACATTCGCCACCACCTAACCTACCATTTTGTTGACCTGTCACGACGTACTATATCATAACCCTGGACTTTAACCTCCCGATCGAAAATACTTTCATTTAGCCTGGTCTCATTTATGGCCAGAACGTCGATGTTTTGATCGTTTAGAAAGACACGAAATTCATCAATATGTTTCAAAAGGCTTGCAATATTCAAACTAGCCATTTTGAATCCATGACACTTTGGCATTAGAGTTGACCCGATCCGGGCACCAGAGGTGATAGTCAGGTTAGGTGTCGCCACAGTTGTCAAGTAAGAATCGTATCAATGAAGTATATTATTTACAAAATTATTCGCTAAAATAGCAATACCTTTCTTGTTGAGATGGAGTCTGAGTTCTTGTTGAGATCTTGTCATAAAGCTGCTTATAAATAAGGAAAAAAATTGATGCAGAAGCCCATTCTAGAGAAACTAGGTTGGAGGTTGGAGACACGAAAAGATTGCGGTTGAATATCACATTATCGCAGCGATCCGCTTAAAATTTGTCTTATTGGCGTCACTTCAGAAAACAACAATTTAAATAGATAAATTATCCGCAAACTTTTAAACTGGTTTTAGATATCTAATAATCCTTTAGATGTCTAATAATTCTTTCGGAGGCGGCATGGCTGAGTGGTTAGGTGCTGGACTTGTTATCCGGTGGCCCGGGTAAGAGTCCTCCACCCTCAACTCCTCGGCTGTGCTCTGTAAATAGCCTGGTGGTCTGCCTCCTGCCAATGGGGATTTTCATGCACTCCATGTTTATTTAAAATCTTTGTTTGAGGGCCACACGTTCATCAGTTGAATTACTGTCATGTGTTGCCCTCGTTAAAATAAAGTTGTTATTAGATACGATGAATATATGAAGTTCATATATTTTAAACTGCGGTTATAGATGCGTATGATACACGATCCTCGTAGTGGAGAGCGCCATTTATGCAATAGCGAAAATCAGACCT